AATTTTTTTCCTCATTTTTGTTGAGCCTGCGATTAACAGCAAAAGTAGGCGAGACACTGGGTTACGCGGAACCCTTACAAATTTGTTGATGAATGAATACACATATACGTTTTTTACGTCAAATTATGCAGCTTTGATTTGGTCTAATTGTCCTGGATGCTTAAGATAGTTGTCTTATTGGCAAGTGCAGTATAACATTGTCATTTATTTACTTGATGTTGCAGAATTATTTGTAAATTTAAGTTGAATGTGGTCTCCATCATTAAACCACCCTATAAATCTCAAGGTTTTGGGGTATATCTTAAATATGGGAACATCTGGCAAATAGGTGAAAGGACTGGCAAAACTTTTTTACAGCACCTAAATTTCACATATATTACATAAAAATCTAAACACTTAGCCACACCTACCCCAACTATAAACTGATAAACTGTAGGGTGATCATATGTGATCTAGAAAGGCAATTAGTTACTGTCCAACTAGTGACACCAGCTGCAGTTTACATAAGTTTTGAGAAAATACAAAACTGACAGAACGTTTAAAAGGGGACACAAATTAATCGTACAATTGCTCGTCAGTGAATAAACCAAATAAAACAGCTAAGCACATATACAAAGAAAGAAACACATTTAAGATGGAAACACATCTGGGGTTGATATAATGTGATTATAACATGCCTAAATATTCAATATTGTGTTGATGAAAAAACCCAATACATTAAGGAGCTTGGTGGTGAAAAACCCAATTTGATATTTGCTTGATGGGTGAATTGGAATTGATAATGCAATTAAAAAACTTTATCACCCAATTACATAAAAAAATGGTGGGTAAAAACCCCAATTTGTGAATTCTTATCTGGAGCTCTGTTAGTTATAGGTGGCGCGTTACGCATTGTCAACAAGGAAGAAAAATGGTGATGAAAATTTCGACAAAAACGGCAGAAAAAAGGCACGGGCGTCAATAAAAAAGGGGCGGGCACTGCGCCCTGTTCAAACTTTGTAGCTAGAACACTGTCCTCTGAAACTACACAGCCAATTTTAATCAAACTTGGCCACAATCATAATTGGGGTATCTAGTTTAAAAAATGTGTCCTATGACCCCATCTGCCAACGAAGATGGTCGACTTGACTAAAAATAGAATATAGGGGTAAAATGTAAGTTTTGTCTAATATTTTGAAAACCTCTATAAAAAGAGAAAATCTGACAGTGGCAGAAATGTTCAGAATGGTGAGCTCTACCTATAATCTGTCTATGTTCGAACTGTCAGACAATTTTTTATTGGAGGTATTGCCCTAAAATGATGAATTTTACCCACTTTTTTTCCATTTTGCCTATAATCTTGAAAACTACAGCAGTTAGAGAGAAAATTATAACTGCAAAACTGATCAGCAAAACAAGATCTTCAAGTAAGTCAATATAGCGGAAATCATCAATCGACTCCTTATTAGAGTTGTTGCCCATTAATGACAATTTTTACCATTTTATATGCAGAAAATGTCTAAAATGTTTATTTGTACATTTTGTAAAAATATGCAAATTAAATGAGCTTTACCTTGCTGCTGATTCTTATTGATGAAAATATAGCTAAGATAGGTGATCAGGATGGTTGGAATGAGCAGGTGTGACTGGATGGAATGCTGCCCTGAAGTAGGCTTTCTCACTCGTCTGATGCAAAAAGTGTCAATTTTGAAAATAATTTGTCTTATTTCTTAACCTGTAAGACCCAGTGAATACATGACATACAAAATTACTTGGGTCTGAGAGATACTGAGTAGGGTATGGCAGTATGATAAAGGTCATATGCATTTCAACAAAAAATTCTGTATTTTCTGATTTTCCTCGACTTCTGGAAGTAGTCATTCCTGTAGAGTATTTGAATAACAACATGACAATAAATAATCTTAAAGCTACTTTATTTCATATTAAATTTTTGGGAGTTGAGACATGTTTTTATTTATATGCTATTCAGCTAATGATAAAACAATGGTGTGAAACACTGATAAAAAAGGAAAAAAATATCTATCGGATTACAGGTAATTATTTCTTACCATATATAAAAAATTCCATTTGACAAGCTTCTGGAGGAAAGCATATTGATTTTATTTCATTGAAATACTTTCATTATAAACTAGGGATGTCAACTCAGTGAACAATTACTAATCAAGTACTCTTTGGTTTTATCGAGCGATACTCGAGTACTCGCTCCCGAATATATCTACAACATGGAAACACAAAAATACATATTTTATATACTGTGGATTTGTTGTTCAACGGACAAAAAACGATCTACATAAATATCTGGGACAAGGAATTACACACCATAATTAATAGTTCATTACCTATAAGTACTAATGAAGTAAAAAAAAAACAATAATCTAATCAATGTAATTTTATGAACATCTATTTAAATTATTACAAGGAAAAATCATATCAAACAATAGTATTGGGTAATCGTTAAGAAAACACATTTAATGTTTACAAAGGTGTAAGGATTAGAAGTTTTAACTATTTACTGAGGGTCATCAGAGGATGCAAAGAATTTATTCTATTTGGAAACATTTTCTTGTCAACTATTATTGGGGACAGTCGGTTTTGCTACTTAAATTACAGTCTTCCAGACGAAAATATTTCCTCTGATGGTACCGATGTGATGGAATGTCTAAGACATGTTTAGTTTAAAGTGTTAGCCTAGGTATAGCCCACATATTTTCGGAGGCATTTTAAATGACAATTTTGCACAAACATTCGAAACAAAATGTATTTTATTTACTAGTATGATTTATCAGTGATGCCTATTCAATTTTCCGAAAGAGGTTCCCAAGAAGATCAATTTTATATAAAGAAGACAACAATATTCTAGCAGGAAACCGATTAGTCCAGAATCGTTTTGGTATTTGATACTCGGTACTACCGAGCGATACTTGAATACTCGAGTACTCGTTGACATCCCTATTATAAATTGTCTTCTTAGATTTTCCCTTTATTGTGTACACTCAAAACTGGTCCTTCATAAATTAAGTGCCAATTTCAAATCCTGAGATCAGACACTAGAATGCAGTATTTATACTACTAAAATAACAAGGTTCAATTTGTTAGCCGGCATGACATAAAAACAACAAATCAAAGAATTCAACTTTATATAACTAATATAGGACAATGGTGTTGAATAAAAATTACACCATTCCAGACGCTTTTGTTTTCCACATAATTAATATTACCAATAGTCAACAAGTTTCGGGTCGAATCTGATACCGATACCAGTAGTATATATGTCACATGTTACCTGTAACCTAATCTGTATGTTTTGCCTCTGTCAGGCGCACCACCAAACATTGTATTTGGGATTTGCTATATACACAGGTCATAATCACACCTGAACTTCGTCATTATACAGGGATTGACACCACTAAATTCAATCATTGACAAAAAAAAAATATCCACAAGTAGTTTCCTGTTGAAGTAAGAAAACCAGGACAGATTCAAACAGAAAGATTTTGAAAACAGATAAAACTGTACACCTTATAATCAGCATGACTTTATCAAATGACAATATGAATACTAAAAATCTAGGCTGAAAATAAGGTGTAGGTGTAATAGTTATACACCGAGGAATAGGTGTGTCTTGATAAGAAACCCCGTCGGCCGGAGGCCGGAGGGGTTTCTTATCCAGACACGCCGTATCCCGAGGTGTATAACTAACTTACACCCCATTCTTAACCCTATATTTGTTAACGTTAATTATTAAATGAAAAAAAAACCAAACCGATAGCATATTTATTGACAATATCAAACCATGATTTATAAGATTATTTTCTTATTACATGAAACCCCACTAGTAACCTTTCTTTTGGCTATCTTCGTTCAAATTTTGACAAGTGAGTATATTTTACAAATGTCAAAGTTGTTTTGCATATTCCCGTTAAATCCATGTGCTAATATGGATCAGCAGGTCAAGGTTGACTGTTTCGTGTATATTTATATTACAAACAAAAAATACATCATGCTCCTTGTATACAGTTGTCAATATGGACGGGTATAAGACGGACGACATTTTGTGGCAAAGGTTGAATTTGGTAGAACAGACTAAAGATAAAGGCACTATTACAACCCAAAGTACTAACCTTTATCAGTTAAATAAAGGTAATCATAATTGTATTTTATATCTTACGATTTTATAATAAAAAAAGCCCTCACATCCCCCCCCCCCTCTCTTCTCGAGAATAAACAAACATTCATATTCGGACATACTAAGGAATGGGTGTGTCTGCATTAGAAACCCGACTACCAGACACGCTCAACATACAAAGATAAAGATATTAATATTTAGCATTTTAGCAACCCACTCCCTTTTGGGGGCAATCAGGCGCTGAAACAGCCGGGGGTTCCCAACTCAAGAGAAAAAAGGGAGGAGGGTCAAAACCATTCAAATGGGGGGGGGGGGGGGGGGGGGGGGGGGGGGGTCCCCGTTTTTTTTTAAAGATCAATGCTTTAGAATAGAGACATATGACTGGGATAAAGAAAATTACCTTCAAGCAAAGGAGTATTTCAAGGATTATGATGTATTCAAAATAGATGCTTAATTTTTTTTCGCTATTGGAATTTCCTAAAATGTGTTTTTTAATATCTTGAAACAATTTGTAGTGAACACTAGTAGTAATTTCATGCTATTTAAAAAAATAATCAATTTCTATTGTTACGAATAACAATGGACTTTGTTTGCGGGATGAATGAAGCAGGGGTTTCCAGAAACCCCGCTCGTCACACCCTGTGGTCAAAATCCATTGTTATTCGTAACAATAGATCTATTCAATTTACACTTGTTTCAGAGACAGAAACTATGAAGCATAACAATAGAACTGGGGTGTAAGCGTTAATTCAGTCACGGACATGACAGAGTGTTCTAGTATTATTTATATTTCCTAAATCTTTAAAGTGGGTAGTAGATAACAGATTTCATTTACAAAAAGAGGTTTCTCATTTTAAGTCATTCAACTTTTCAGCTTACAAAGATGAAGATGAAATGATTCCAAAGAATGCCTCAGTGATTGTAGCCAGGATACCTAAATCTGATGCTCCAAAATCAAAAGGACCTAAAACTTTGTAAGTATATTTTGTGTGTCAAAAAGTCAGAAATACTTTAAAGGATATCATATACCATACATTCATTTTGATTTGACAATTTCTACTCTTCGTCATGGGACTTTGACTATCCTAGGCCTATTGCAGCGTACTTGCACCTTATTCCTCTGTTACATTTCTGCAGGGGACATTTTGCTATTTCATGGCAATCTTTTTTATGCCCCCGCCGTCACCGTAGGGGACATTAAGTGTTACCCTTGTCCATACGTAGGTATTTCCCAAAATTGGTTTCCGTTCTCTAACTTTAGTTTGCCTCAACCAAATGTTTTGAAACTTATTCACAATGTTTATTACTTCAAAGCACAAATCAAGTACGAATTTGGGTGGCGTCACTTTTACCGTTCTCGAGTTATGCCCTTTATAACGTTTTATACAAGCAGGTGCATCTGTGTCCCATGGAAACATTCTCCATTTATTTCAGTTTCAAATTATATGAGGAAATTGGATATTTTACGAGAAAAAAATTCGATGTAGCTAAAATTTACTGTGTTTTTCTACATTAACTTATTTCCTAATACATTTATCAATAATGTAGGTTTGTCACTTTTAAGGTGCCGTGTAATGAAATATTTGTTTTTCAAAATTAATGTTATCAATTACATGTTATAAATGACACTCAACTATTATTTAATTTCTTTTGCAGGAAGGCATATATAGAAGATCCAAAGCCAGTATGTTATTTATTTTTATAGTGGTATAGTATTGGGGTTAAATAAGGGTTTACAAGCGGGTTACAGTATTATGTCATAATGTTTGATTGTATTGTTTATAAATCATGTGCAATTACTTTTCAGATATATATGTTGTTTGTTATGATAGAAATCTGTTATGAATTACTTGTGTTAAAATATAAAATAACAATGTTTAATTATGTAAACATTATCCAATCATATTATTCACAATGGCATATCTGTATGAAGTGATAAAGAAAGTATGTAGACTTAATTGCATTTTGAATTAGCAGTGACATACTTTTTATCAAATAATTATGTAGAAAGTTTTCTTCCATTAGACCTACAAATTGATTTATATTGGATAGCATACCAAGCCTCTTGTCAAACATCTCAATTTAGAAGTATGTCCTGTTTGAACTTTTTGTTTTGAAAAACAATTTAGTCCCAATTTTAGTATTTGAAGTGTTAATGAATTCAACAATATAATGAATTTTATATTTGGGAAGATTAATTCTCTTTAATGTTTACCCTAATTCTTTTTATTCATAATGACATTTACAAGTCATTATTACAATGCCCCTCATCATAAAGCCCATAGTGTTAACATAGTGCAATATATTATTGAACTACTTAATTTAACAGATTCAAATGTTTCATGGTTGTAGAAAATTCATTGATTTATTTAATATGAACATGTTGAATATGTGCTTTCTGACTGCACATTTCAAATTAGTTGAAATTATGTATTTGGTTTTGCATTAAAATAAAATGTTCAGATTAATTAGGAAGAAACAAAAATAATCATGAATGAATGAAGTTTTTTTAATACTTATATATATAACAATGTATATTTTAGCAAACAGCTAACATGCAGATCAATGTTAATTACATATTTCATTAAATGTCAAGCTAACATTTATATTTGTATTTTGATAACCAATATGTTTGTTTATTGACATGTACCGATGCATTTGTTCATTGCAATAATTATTGTATATCTATGTAATGGTATAGGTCAGTTTAGGTAAATTTACTCGCCATTTACCCTTTCTCCTTATTTGGTATAAATACCCATTTTAAGCTTTTGATTGAGTTTTAAAAGGAGGACATGGGTTGAATTGGTGTAATCCAAACTTCTGTAGCAAAAAAAAATCTTTGACAGCTTTTTTTTGGGGTCTGATTCGTTTCTTTGAATCTGCTGATAACAGATTTTGAACCCGCATTAAAAAAGGTTAAAAAAGTAATCTATGCGATACAGCAATTTGAACTTTTGAATTATTTAATCATTACAAGTAAAATTATATTTAAAAGGTAATAATAAACTTTGTCAGTTAATTTTGTAATTTTTTGGAGTAAAAGACTGTTTGATTGAAGTTTGCCTAATGTTTAATGCATGTACATGATTATCTTTAAAGAGAAGGACTTTTTCAAATTACTCTAAAAGCAGAATTGAGAAATAGTAAATATAAACACCTCTTCCAAAATAAATTCCCTTTATCCTATGTCTTCCAAACTTTTAATAATCTGTATATCAATGACTTATTAGCTAATGTTGTCACAAATCAGGAATACTCTTTTAAGAGGCAGCTATATTATACATAAGTTTGTTACATTTTATATTTACTATTGTTTTACTATGAATATTGTGTTTATTCCATATACAATTGTTATATCTTTTTTACAAAGATACTTTATGAAGTTTACTCAATTTATTAACCTTCACTGACATTATGTTTTTGTTACAATGTCTTGGAAATACTATTTTGAAAATAAAAGCAGATGATTGAAGTATAAATATTGTTCATTGGAATGTAAATTTAACTGGGAACCAATAATTATCCTTTCACATCTACTTTTATCTTGTGAAATACTTGGTTACGAAGATAATTACATGTAGTTCTGCCATATACCATTTACTTTGGTTTTTGAAATGTGAATGTTAAAACTGATGTTTATTCATAGCAAAGGTGTCAACATTTCAATCTTCCAGAGAGTTAAATCCCAATTTGGAAAATTTTTAAAGGGAGATTTGCTTTTTTCCATATTTTTTATCTGACTTTTTGCAGTTCTATTGTTAATTTGAAAAAAAGTTACAATTAAATTGATCAGGGCATTATTATTTATCTTGCTAAAACCAACTATCAAGTTGCCAGGGCTCTCAAAATTGTTTAAAAAACACTGTTTTGACTAATTTGTAGACAAATTACTGCTTACAATAAATAGAGAAAGAAAAGACTGAGACTGATCAATAGAGGAAGCTTTCCAAATTTTGAAACAAATATTGGGAAGCTTCCATCAATATTGAGAGTTGACACCTATGTTATATATAAACTGGAAATATGATTTCATCATGTTCACACAGATTCTGTTGATTTTAAGCAATACAAAGCATTTGCTAAGCAGAATTTCAGAAATAATTCTTCTGTTAAATTCATTCATAATGAGCAATCATGAGGTTTGCTTGTCTTCATTTTGCCTAAAAATATCAAATTTTGTTTTTAATTGTATACAATTAATTACATTTAAATTATTGTTTACTATTGAAGTCTTTTTGAATACAAAAGTACAAGTGGTAGTATTCAAATGACCACAATACTTCAGATAGTACATTAAAAATAAAATTCCAGTGAATACTGATGTTTTTATCTTGCTATTGGCATGGATGTAAGTTGCTGGATCAAAGACAATGGTATTACTTTTCAATATCAACTTGTGAGCCCTTCCTTCTGATATTCATATATGTCTTGACTATCAGAATATCATTCTGTTTATAAGTCAACTGAATTATTGCCTCAATTCTGTAGTCTTATATCATTTTCTTGATTGCTTGCGTTTTAAAAAACTGGGAAAACATGACTAACAATTTAAGATCTTTGAATGCCACAATTGTGATTTTTTGCTCTTTTGGTCTTGTATTGAGAATTTTCTCTATTTAAAGTCTCTTTCAGCTTGGTTTTACAACTTAAATAGTAAATTAAACAAGATAACAACCCAATGACAAATATCTGTTATGTTGCAATGAATTCCGTTATTAGGATAATTTCTGCCATAGGTGTGAAGTATATTGTATATCCCCTCGGTGTACTAAATATAAAAATTAGGAGAAATGGTCTGATTGCCAGTGAGACAACTATCAAAAAAGACATAAGGAAAAGAATGTTAACAATTACAAGTCACCGTAAAGCCTCCAACAATGAGAAAAACCCTTAGTAAGCTTTACAAATCTATAGAAGTGTTTGCTTGTATGTGCATGTGTCCATCATCTCACCTGGTCATGCATTTGTCAAACATGCTACTTGGATTTTATTGTCAGTGTAAGATTTATGTGAAGTTCTTACATATACAGGCCTAGATGACACACACAGTGTCTTTATTAAAAAAAATGTTATTCTTGTGTAGATATTCAAAATGGAACAGTGTAATCTGTCAAATTGTTGACCAGTCACCTTTAACAAAGCCTTTAGATGTTATATGTTTGAAACATTGAGAAAATGGTTTTTAAACTACAATAATCAAAAATATATATGAGTTTATCTCAGTATGTACAAAGTGTATTTGTAAAACTTAGTTACATGTATGATGGTTACAATGTTTTAAAAATGAAAATTCGTGGAAAACTGATGTGTTTGCTGACTACATAAAACCATACATTAATTATGTAATTATAAGACATTTTATACATAACTGGACTCGAGAATTGTGGAAACCATATTGTGGTGAACTTTATAAACATTATCCATGAACTGAATTGATCAGTAATATGAACTTTACGTGATATGGTGCTATATGAACTTTACATAGTATGGTGTTAGATGAACTTTATTATCTGGAGTTGATATGGACTTCCAATTGCAGAATTGTTACAAATGGAGGACGTTCAATAAGAGGATATCATTTATCTAGAATGATCTTGATATCATCTGTCAAAATAAAAAATACACCAGTATCTCTCTTTGTTTCATTGTTGGTGTGTATGATTGTGTGTGAGAGTACAGTATTATGCTCTGTCCAGAGACTACATCAACAACAGTGAGCAGGGAAGAATGCCTAGAACAACTATACACAGATCCAGAGCTAATACTGTAATGATTTGTTTTCAACAATATTTTGGGTGACTTGTCAAGAACAAGGTAGGGAATTAATAATTGTTCTTTAAACTGTTTCAGAGTTCTACTTACAAAATGACGTATATTCATTCTTTAATATTCTTTGGAAGTCTTGTATCTTGGTCTTTATAGAATAATCTAACTGGAGTTTATACCAAAATACTATCCCAAGTTTCACATGAGAATAAATCTATTAGCAAGATGTTTACAATCATTTTAAAATCCTTTCAATACATCGGAAAAAGTTGCTGAGAGGACCTGATTATAACTTAGTCTAAAGAACTTAAAATAAGTGCTATAATCTTTTAGATACAAGTATGTTAATTTTTGGCCGGGTTTGGACAAAGTCCAAAACAGGCTTATTGTATTGTGATGTTGAGCAGGCGGCCAGGTTAAAGTGGGTACCTAACTTGTGTGATCAATTCCTACAGATTTCAACCCGAAACCCTGAAACTTCACAGAGAGATTGTACATATGTTGAAGTTGTGCTCCTGCTTTTATGGAATTGTTTGAGGATTTTTCCTAATTTTTCCATACTTAGTCATTTTAGCAAAATTCATGAAAGAGGGTACAAGTTTTGTGTAGTCAACTCCAACAGAAATTTTTCTCCTTTGTCCATGCATAGGAACTTGGTCATTTTTCAGCAAAATTGAGTCACAAATATTACAACCCTGCCATAGGAGACATTGACGTATTTTTTGTAATCTTTAATGTGTCTGTTGTTAGTTAGGGACATTGTAAAACTTCAAATTACCTGTATACATTGTATAACATGACACCACTATGACTTTTAAAAAGTTGGACAAATATGTCCATACCCATAACTTGACACTGAAATAGAAGAAATTTGTATGTAAATGTACAGTAAAGAAGTAAATTGGTTTCATGGAA